CTGGAAACAAAGCCAGAGTTTTATTTACTCAAGAGCAGTATTTCTGAAGTTAAACTGCGCAGTGCAATCAAAGAGAGAATATAGCAGGGGATCTGAGTGGATAGATGTTTGAATGGCTACCACCAAAAGTTATTGTGTTGACCGTTGCTATCGAACATTAGAATGGAATCAAGGAAGAGACCTAAGACGACACTTGAAGACCTCTCATAAATCCTTCTAGAGAAACAAGATGCCTTGATGTAGTCAGTCCTAATGCTGCTACAGGATTTTACATGAAAGTTAGACCAAATGAACAACTTTTGAGGAGATAAAGCTTTTGTTTTAGTTCCGGTGCCATTAAATAATGCTTTTTCTTCCATAAAATATAATATTATTTTGAAAATCTTAGGAACCATCTGCTTCTAAGAGTAACATGTTGATATGTTTACTAAAAAGAAACAATGCACTATTAATGGTCTAATTTTATTTTTTCCAGCATTCCTCTTGCTGATGACACGGTTCCTGTTTGAATCTGTTTACAAGATTCTGAAAACTGAGCAGAGAATTTTGGCACTGCACTGGGTAGGAAAAAGGTATATTCATAACGCACATAATACATACATTTGAAAAATCAATTACTACATTAGCTAAGTAACAAAAATGGAGGTTTATATATCTTCTATTATTTTTAATTTATATGTAAAAATATGCAGAGTCTATCCATATAAAACTATAGAATATAATCTTATATTTAGACAACAGCTGGCTTTGTATTTATTGTTTTGAGACTCTATGTGAAGGTAATGTCTCTAAACTGGCAGATGATAGTGACATTTCTTTTTTTAATGAGATACATTTTTCTCAAAGTTGCAAAAGATTTTTTTTCCTCCACTGAAAAATATGTTGAAAAAAAAAATTGTTGTTACTTTTTTTTTGCTGCTGCAAAGAAATATTTTGGGTCACAATGGGTAGGTCATACATTTTAGAAAAATTTCCATGGACTATTAAGTATTCCAGGGTATATTTCTGTAAACACATACAAAAATGCAGTTTTGATGAGGTCAAACATATTTTCTAATTTGCTTGGCAGATAAATTTAGTGGCCATCTACCTGTGCATTTATGAAACGCTTGTTTGCCTTTTTAAGAGAAGTTACACTCTTGGGGATATGAACTAAAAGTTTGACTATGGACCTAGAATTGAAAATCCTTTTATAATCCTTTGACATCATGTGGGTCATTGCAGGTAAGGAATCGTGTTGTTCAGAAGAGGTTTATCCCCATTAGGATAGAAAAGGAATTCTCCTACTAGTTGGTACCAAAAATAATAATAAAAAGGTGGTTTTGCATAATGACCTAAAACTTATTTATTCATAATCCACTGTTAAAATCTTATAACTTCTGTCTCTAGAACTTCAAGATACAAGTATATTTGTAAAAACCCTTCGGATCAATCGTAGTTGTTACATTCTTTAATGACTAGCTTCTTAATCATCCTAAATAGTATT